TGCAGAGTAAGCTAAACACAACTAGTTTATACAAAAGTTTTAGTAATTTAAAAAAACCATATCAGGTGTGCAGGTAAATGTTCTTTTTTAAGGTTTACCAGTAAATTCTAGATGAACTCAGGTTTTAGTTAATTTAAATTTTCCTTTTATTGTTTAGTTAGAAAAAATATTGTCATTGTCATATTTGCATGGATGCTTATTTCCTTTAATGTTGTATTAGGCAAAAGATAATAAGATAATTCCTAAGCTTCTATTTATCCCCAAGAATACTTGCCAGAACAGGCAAAGGTGAAATGGACTTCACAGTATTATTGTGTATACTGTAAGAATGGAAGGTTGATGTTTATTTTTATCTGTATTTATTTTAAGGATAGACCAGGGATTATTTATTTCTTTATATTTTTTATTATTATTATTAGTTTCTTTTTCTGATTTTTAGAAAATCATATATTCTTTGTTTTACTGGTTTTGTCAGATATACTCAACCACATGCCGCTGGGAGTGGCATGTGCATACATGCCATGCCCACTGTGTGTTTAATTTAGCAATTGTTTTTACACATTGATGGCTCCACAAGTACTAAGTCACCAATGAGCCAGTGCCAAAAACTACATCTCACCTCTTTACCCTTATCCTTGATGTTCGATAATATTTTCTTGTATTTGATATTGCTGTTAGTAATGTCAATAACACTATAATGATTATGATGTTAACATGAAAATAACAGTATCAATATTGATAGCATTAGTAAAATTAGCTTTTTCCCACAAACTCGAGGAAAGGTGAAATTTTGTGAGGTCGCAAGGTCTACTGACTCTTTTGTGACTAAGCACTGGCAGAGCCATCTATGTGCAGGAATTTAACAAAACAATATTAAAGTGAACACAACATTTTCCTAGGAGCATTGGGTTAATTTGCTCAGTTTTACTATACTGTTCACTTAGTGTTTAGCATGAATAGATAAGGTTATAGATATATTGTTCTGAAGATAAGAGATCTTTAAACCTCCTCTTACCAAAATTGAATAGTTTCATTCAGAATAAACAGGGAGATCTTTTGACTTTATACCCATTACAGGCTAAGATATTCATCATGTTATGAGTGCTAAAACAGTTTTCAGACTATTGTAGTATTGAAAATACAGAAACATTATTGTAGATACATATAAGGAAGAAATATCTTGCTAGTGACAACACATGAGTCGCAAAAGGTTAATCTTGAGCTTTAATGTGAGTTCATCAATATGTTAATGAGAGCAATAATGGCTTGTGGGTAATGTCTGACGAATTCTAACTGCTTGTGCAGTTTTTGTAAAATGAAAAAGGTTTTTGATATTAAAATGTAATGAATTTTGACAGTTAATGTTATGAAAACTTGATTAACAATTTTATGATGCTACTTGATTAAAGAAATCATGTCATATCTCACTGGATGATAATATCATAATAATGATGTTAATAAGTGATTATGATAATTGTAATGTTTGGAATGTTAATGCTGTAATGATGGGAGGGCTTACCCTGTCCACTAAAACTTTAGTTTATTAATTTTATGTACACATAGATGGCCTCAGAAGTTCTTTGTCACAAAGAAGTCAATTCTGCACTGCATTGAATCTCAGGAAGATATTTAGAACACCCTGGCCGCTAGTGTACTCTTAGTTCACCAAGTCTTTTTAGAGAGAAAAAAAGAAAAAAGGATTATTAATCCACTGATATCATGTGTACATGAACACATGCCTTGTTCACAAGGTTTTATTTAATTTGTCATGTGTATGCATGAATGGCTCCAGAATTGCTTTGTTGCCAAGGAGTTACAAGGTCACTTTTTAACCCATTGGTTGTGGTATTATGCAATATGGCGCGTAATCCCCTAATTTTATTTATTTTCAACTCAGGTGGCGTATGGGACCGCACTTGAGTGTGCGTGCGCGTAGTGGTGCTGCCTTCCCTCTTTCGCGCAAATATTTTGTTTACTTAACCCACCCGCGCCGGGGTACATTTTGTAGCCAAAATTTAAAAAATCCGGGAAGCTACAAAATCGGCGGGCGGAGCTTCCCCGGAGTCTGTCTGCCCGCCCGGCCGCCCGCCGCTTTTGCCGCGTAGCACGGCTCCGAGACAGCATCGCACTGGCGGGCAGCCCAAAACTGTTTATTTTTTCCCTGTGTCTCATATATGTGACACCCGGGACGAATGGGTTAAATCAGAAAAAATAAGTATGCAAAAATTTGCAAAAACCCTTGCAAACATGCAAACATATGTAAATGCGCTCAAAAAGAGTGGTGGGCGTGGTTTTAGCACGCGCAATAGGCGAAGAACTCATTTGGCGGTAAACAGCCCATTGCACACGTGGGCCCGGGGTTGGTGGGCCTGGGCCCTGTAAGGCCACAAGGGGAATGCCAGCTTGGCGGCTGATATTCCCTGGCCCACTCAGCTCCCATGCCGCGCGGCCGCCCGCTGCTCGAAGGGGATCAGCTGTCAATTGCACGGTGCATCATATGATGCCATCCGCAGCCAGTGGGTTAACACATTCTTTGAATTTTTGGAGAAACAATTATTGTTTTTATAATAATAAATACTGTTATTGCTAGTAATGATGATAATGTTACCAATGATAATCATGGTATTTCATATTGAGACTTTTGTCAGGAAAATTGAAAAGGGATAAATACAGAGGTCAGGTTGTCTTGTTAATTGACTTCTTGTTGCCTAAGGATTTGGGAAATCATCATTGTGGAAATCAGATTTATAGAAAAAAAAAAAAAAAACATCAGTGGAGATTGCTTGTACCCAGCACCCAATAGGTCAAGTGAATGTGATTAAAATTTTAAATTATTTTCAGATATTTTTTTTGTAATATTGATGAATTTGTCCTTTTCTGTCATAGTTGATACATATCATATTTTATATATATCCTGTAATTGGGAAAGTATGTATCACAAGGTATTGCAGTTGGGAACACAAATTTTGTGTTTGCTTTTGCCTTTGTACCTTTGGCACTTTGGCAAAGGCCAACAATCCTTCATAAGAAAAAAAATGTACGCTGATTATCTTTGTGCTATATGCTTGTACAACCATCTGAAGGTTTACAATGTTCAGATTCATTAATGGCTTTTTTTCACTTTGTTCGTTACCCCTGGCTCCTTGATGCTCATACTTCTATTGTTTGGATGGGTCTGAAAGTTGCTGCATATCAAAAATGTATTTAAGACAGTAGCTACAAATTACTGTTACAATAGCTGAAAATTGAATAGAATAAAGAATTATTCCAAGGTATTAATAGTTCAGTGTATATTTAAGAGCAAGTTAAAATATCTGGGCTCACTTAACCCTGTTGTACCATTCCTCAAAGCAGTTGATGTCAGTTGAAGTGTAAGAGCATGCATATCCAAACATGTTCTCAAACCAATTGCCTGAAAATGCATTTATTAGAGGATTTGTTAATTTGAACTTCATGGGAAACACAAGCATCAATCGATATACTCACATTAATGCACAACAATCTTGAGATTGTCAGGCTTTAATGTGAACATATCAATTCATATGTTACAGATGGAGAGATTAAAGTAACAAAACAATTGATAAACACGTTTTCAAGCAATAGGTCTTGAGAACACCTTAGGATCTGCATGTCCTCATATGTAGTCCATACTTTTCATCAAAGGATTACTCTATATGTGGCGACTTTTATCCTCCACCTCAATCCTGATTATTGATTTAATTGCTTCTAGATTAGAAGTGAAAGATTGTGTGCTCTGTTTTGATAAAGGATATTCTCAGATAGGTAGGATCTGGGAGCTTTTACGGGAAAATTCATCTCTAAGCAGGTTTAAAAATTAATATTCTGTAATATCTTAAGTCATTTGATATTGGGAGGCTGTAAGTGTATGAAGCAGTATGGCATCTGACTTTTTTGTCATGTTTAATGCAACTTAAAGGATATAGTGAGTCCAATGCAAAGTATCAAGACAATCCTGAAGCCAGCACTTGGGACAGTAATGTGGCTATCAGTATTTTGGGTGCAACAGGTTATGAAAACCTTGTATGAATACAAGAATATATATAGAATGTAACCATTATTATGTTATGGTAGTGAACAAGTTTTAAATTAGATTTTAAGATTTCATGAAGAGAGACTAAATTTAACTTGACAACCCGAGATGGCATTTTGCATACATGCCATGTCTACTGCTTTGATTTTATTGTGTTTGTACATACATGGCTCTCCAAGACCTCAGTCCCCAAGAGTTTATTTACTATTACCTACCTGTCATGCCTTTTTTCTCTTCACCTTGAATTTTAGAAAGCTCTAAGAATGTTTGTAGTTTTGGTATATTAATGATGTGATAATATGCCAATAATAATGATAATGGTATTGATAGTAATAGCATAAAAAAAACCTTATAATGCAAAGAGGTGAGGTCAGGTAGGCCTACCACTTACTCCATGATGACTTTGTGCTTGTGGAGCCATTCATGTGTTCACAAAATTCACAAACAAAAATGTTATGTACAATTCATGTACTTGGTAGAAGGTATAACTTTTGAAGTGACAGTATTTTAATTATTTTTTAGGTTGCACATATTAAACAGTACATAGGAAGTTACTTGTATTAAACAATACCTAATAAAAAACTTAAAAATAATGATTTTGTATCTTTTAAAAAAAGATATGTATTTATGAAAAGTGGAAATTGATACATTTATTCTACCTTTGTTAAAAATTTATAGGAATAGTTTTGTATTTTTTTCAAATTAATGAAAAAGGTATTGACCTTAAATTTTATGTTACATTTTAAGTTAACAGTAATTCTATAAACTTAGTTCATTGCATGCATTAAGCATTTCCTAGGTAATAACATTTTTCAAAGTAATGATTTTGATGTATCTTCCAAAATTATTTGAGTGCTTTAATAGCATAGGAATAGCTATTCATTCTCATTTGGGACATATAGAATTAACAATTGGTACATTATTAATTGATATTTTTTGTTCCTCATAGGACAGAGTGGATGTATGGTTAGGACTGTGGCATCTGGTCGCGCCACTGGGTGAGGGAAAAGGGCCGCGCCGGTGCCGCACGACAGCGCTATGACCATCGCAATGATAGCCAATCAGGACCCACAGGAGGGCCCACCAAATACCCCACCTCAGGTATGAATATGTTTTATATTTTTATGCTTAGTTGAGAGTGAAACTTTCATACAAATGATTGTGGATTCATGATGTTTTCAGTGTATCAGTCAGGAATAGCAAGTGAGTTATAATGAGGCTTTAAAAATATAGCTGATTATTCACACTGTATGCTATGTGAATGATGTGAGAATTAAATAATCTAGAGAATTATAATCATAGTCTGGATCAACATAATTTGTTTTCTGAAATAGTTTGACATTAAAAGCAATGCCCATAATTTACAGGGAGGGGATGGAGAAGTGCTGGGTGAGGGGGAAGGGGAGGAGATGGGAGCAGGTGAACCAGACTTTCCACTGGCTGCATTGGCTCGGCTAGATGAGATGATCCATCGGCAAAGATGGGTTGTACCAGTCTTGCCAAAGTGCGAGTTGGAGCTGCTCTTGGATGCCTCCATTGATTTGTGCACCCGTGGTAAGTATCATTGGTGTTTTGAAAAAATATCTTGTATGGGAAAAAGAAATTAATTGCAAAAGTATATATAGAATTTAGTATTGGTATTAAACCCAGATTTTTGTTTTGTTTTCCTTCCTGTAAGTTTGTTTAAGAATTAACTGAGAGAGAAGTTGTAAACCAACCCATCTTAGTCATTTCTTGATTTGAATTGATTTGTGTGAGGTTAAAGATGTTATTACAGTGTATAATAAATTTTTATTAGGTTTGGACACAAGAAGTGAAGCATGCCAGAGGTTCTTCCGTGAGGGTCTTACTATCTCATTCACTAAAATTCTTACGGATGAAGCAGTTAATAGTTGGAAATTTGAAATTCATGTAAGTATTATATCATTATTATTGTTGATGTTGTTATATGTATGTATTTTTTTTTTGGGGGGGGCATTGTTATATAAATAATATATATATATATATATTATATATATATATATATATATATATTATATATATATATATATATAATATATATACATTTATATACATTTATATACATTATATATATATTATGTATATTATATTATATATTATATATATATATATATATATATATATATATATATTATATATATATATATATATATTATATATATATTATATATATATATATATATTATATATATTATATATATTATATATATTATATATATATATATATATATATATATATATATATATATATATATATATATATATATATATATATATATATATATATATTTTACTTGAATTTCACTCTCATCAAGTTTATGTTAATTGCCATGTTTGTCTCTGCAGAGGTGTATTCTCAAGAACTGTGAAAAATTAATTGAACTAGTGGTAGTGAAACTGCACCAAGACTGGTTTCCCTTACTTGATCTACTTGCAATGGTGCTCAATCCTAATTCCAAGTAAGTGAAGAAACCATAATTCTGAGAAAGAAGCTTGGCTTATCAGTGTGAATTTTTGGTTGACTAAATTATGTTTGCATTGATTTTGTACATTTGCAAAGTTTTTTTTTTTTTTTTTTGTAATCATTGGTTGGTTTGCTTGTTTCCTTTTCTTTATGCAATCGTTCTTCCAGGTTCCACACCTTCAATGGAACCCGCCCCTCGGAGACAGTACCTCAGGGGTCCCAGATTCCAGACTCTGAGCTATTTGCTCGGCCTCCTGACCCTAGGAATCCTAGGGGTTGGCTGGTAGATCTTATCAACCTCTTTGGCAAACATGGAGGCTTCCAGATTCTCCTAGAAAGATTCCAATCTGGCAAGAATCTATCAGTTCCAGTGATTTGTGCTCTCCTCCGACCATTTGGCCAATGCTATGAGATGCTCACAATACCTACTATAGAAAAATATTTCATGTCTATTGTAGTAAGTATCATGATATATTTCTTTCTAAAATTATCCTTGTAAAGCTTTTTCAAGATAAACCAATTCATGACAACTATTTTCAGTTATTCCTGGTTGTTTGTTTGGCTCTGACTTTCCTAATTTTTCTTTACTTAAGAAGAGGCTGATATATATATAGATAGATACATTGTTACCTTTACATCAAACAACCATCTCTCTCAAGCCCCCTTTTCTCTCATAAAATCCGTTGAATAATTGGCACCTGTTATATTTTATGGAAATGTATTACAGATATAGAAGATGAAAGACTTTTAGTAATTGATCATGCTTCCATCTTTTTTTTTTTATTAGGAGGTAGTCCCAGCCTTCTTAGAAAACCTCACTGATGATGAATTGAAGAAAGAAGCCAAGAATGAGGCCAAGAACGATGCACTGTCAGCAATTATCAAAGCCATTAAGTGCCTGGTGTCCCGTGTGCCCAGTCAGGAGGAGACGGCCAAGAACTTGGAAATATTTAGGTTGAAAATGATACTCAGGTAAGCATACTCACAAATGCTCTGCAGTGTGAAATATTTTTATGAAATTGAGATATAATTGGCCATAGTCAAGTATCTTCAAAAGTAGTGGAAGGACCAATATCTTTTATCATTTTTTGTGGTCTTCAGTTGATTTGTAACTATAAAGATTTCTTGAGGTATTGCCATTTCTATTATGGCATTGATAACAAAAAAGTAACTGATTAGTTTGCAGGGCCATCATGTAAATTTATTTATTTTCTTTCTATGATAGATTGATTGATCATCATTTTTATTACAGGTTATTGCAAATATCATCCTTTAATGGGAAGATGAATGCTCTAAATGAAGTAAACAAAGTGATTACCAATGTGTCCTATTACTCCCACCGTCATGGACCTTTTGAGGAAGAGGAATGGCTGACAGCAGAGCGCATGGCAGTGAGTTTCACGTTGGAATGTAGTTTCTTTATTGCCTGATTAGGGGATTCTATGTATTGATAGTTTTGTTTGCATGGTATGGAAATATGCAAGTAATGAATTTTTAATTCCTCTATTTCAGGAATGGATCAAGGAAAATCGTGTCCTACAGATCGTATTGCGTGATTCACTCCATCAGCCTCAGTATGTAGAGAAGCTAGAGAAGATCATTCGCTTTATCATTAAGGAGAAGGTAAGTATCCAACCACACAATGATTCTTCCAAAGTGATTAGTTTTCTTTTCTTTCTTTCTTTCTTTCTTTCTTTCTTTTTTTCCAAAGCTGTTAGCAAATTAAGGTTTGTCAAATTATTAAGAGAGTCGGATATATTTTCAAAATTGTAAGGTACAGAACCATTACAACATATTTTGACCAATAGTCTATTTGTAGGTAAAGAAGTGAATAATTGATAAATGAATTCAAGGATATATATATATATATATATATATATATATATATATATATATATATATATATATATATATATATATATATATATATATATATATATATATATATATATATATATATATATATATATATATATATATATATATATATATATATATATATATATACAGGGCTAATTAATTTACTTACTAGATTTTCAGATATTTTAACCATGTCTTTTGATTCTATGCCACATTAGCAGATCTAAAGAAATTTGAATTATTAGATTTTATGAGAAGGCAAATTGACAAGACATTTATTTTCTTTTAGGCTTTGACTCTAGAGGATCTAGATGATATCTGGGCAGCGCAGCATGGGAAACATGAGGCCATTGTGAAAAATGTGCACGATCTCTTGGCCAAGCTTGCATGGGATTTTTCCCCAGAACAACTTGATCACCTTTTTGGATGCTTCCAGGCAAGTGTGGCGTATATTACATCTACATTGTTCTTTCCTTATTAATTTTACTATTTGTAATTTTTCTTTCTATATTTTTGAAATCTGAAAGGACAGAAAGGAACATTTCTTACTTTTATTTATACTTGTTTTCTTTGTTATCTACAGACAAGCTGGAGTCAAGCTAGTAAAAAACAACGTGAGAAACTCTTAGAATTAATCCGAAGACTAGCAGAAGATGACAAGGATGGTGTCATGGCTCACAAGGTAGTTTTAGTGTCTTTCTCAAATTTCATTGGTATTGTAATGTGAAATTGCATAATTTTGATTTCAAAGGACATTTGATTTTATCTATTAAATTTTAATTATATTTGTATATTTATACATAGATGTATATTAGCATATCTAGATGAAAACATACATGGTTACATATTCAACTTGGTGTTTACATGTTTATATGTCTAACTGAATTGGGTAAATGCTGACAATATATCTAAAACTTGTACATAGTATAATGCTTATTGAATGCTTTATTTCCTACTTATATATATATTTTTTATATGTATATATAAATTTATCTATTATTTATTTTCCCTCCTTTATGATTTCAGGTATTAACATTGCTGTGGTCCTTAGCACATTCAGATGATGTTCCAACAGAAATAATGGACCAGGCTCTCAATGCTCATGTTAAGATTTTAGATTACTCATGCTCACAGGTATGTAAAAAACTATAATGTTTAAACTTTGTAGATATTTTGAAATTCAGATGGTCAGAAACCCTCAGCTTGTGATTGATGAGTGTTCTTTAATATGTATGAAATATTTATGAAATTTAGATCTGTACCAGTTTCATATACACTAATTACTTGAAAAAGATAATATGACACCTTTATAAATGAAAATTAATTATGATTTGAATATTCAGCACCTTAGTATATTTTATTTGTTAATAGCCATATATTTATTTATCCATTCCTTTCAAGGATCGAGACACCCAGAAAAAGCACTGGCTTGACAGATGTGTGGAGGAACTCAAGCATGATAAGTGGGTCCTCCCAGCACTGAAACAGATACGAGAGATATGTTGTTCATACAGTGAGGCTCCACCTAACTTCTCACAACACCAGCGCCCAACTCCACACGTCAGCTACCGTCATGATGTTATATCCAAGCTACAGAATCAGCACTCACTAGTGGTCCTTGTGGCAGATAATCTCACAACTTATATGAAGAACATTAGACTAGCTGCAAAGGGTGAGTTCATTAGGATGTCAGTCATGTGATTTGATTGTTGGTGGATGGGGACTGCACTTTTTCTTTTCCTCAGTAATAAGTACATGTTGTCATCTATTCTCTATAGGATGTCTTTCTGTCATTAAGGTCTAAGTTACTATGATTCTTTATTATTGCAGAAAATCCGGACCTGAATCCAGCAGAAATAATTCCAGATGGCCGATACAACCACATTTGTCAAGTTCAGGAGCGGCTAAATTTTCTCAGGTTTCTGTTAAAGGTTAGTAATAAGCATTAAAAGTACAAAAGGTTTTTTTTTTCTAAGTGTTTAGGGTTAAAAGATATTATATTAGCTACATGGGAGAATTCCTGAATCTGGTTTAGGGTAGAGAGCAGCCAGAACAACAGTAGTATAAAGAATTTAAAAGATTCAGAGAAATTGTTATCTTTTTATTGTCATCTATGTGTAAATAAAATAGACAAAACAAACTACAGTGGCCAATGCATGTTATTAGTATCAATGGGTTAACAGTTGCAATGTTTTTGTGCAGGTGCTATAATCAATTATTATTTACATTTATGAACTTCAATTTTGACTTTATATTTATGAATATTTTCCTATTATTGATTCATTGATTTCTTTTCCAAGGATGGTCAGTTATGGCTGTGTGCACCTCAGGCCAAACAGATATGGAACTGCTTGGCAGAAAATGCTGTCTTCACTGTTGACAGAGAATCGTGTTTTAAGTGGTTTTCAAAGTTAATGGGTGATGAACCAGACCTTGATCCAGAGATTAATAAAGATTTCTTTGAAAACAATATATTGCTTCTGGATCCCTCGTTATTGACTGAAAATGGCATGAAGTAAGTAGCCTTTTTGCATAGCTTACTAATAAGTTGGTTATTAAAATTAAAAAGGAAAATTTGCAATAGATTTGGAGAATTGTTATGATCCTGTTTACTGTAATATTAATGTTATAAGATGTATATGTAGTACAATAAATGGGAGAATTATTTTTCTCTCTATTTTCTCTTATCTTTCTCAGAAAAATAAAATAATATATTTACCAGCTTATCAGAGTTGATACCATATATACTTGTTTTATCTACAGGTGCTTTGATAGATTTTTCAAGGCTGTAAATTCAAAAGAGGGCAAGCTGGTTTTGAAGAAACGTGTATACCTCATGGATGATGTTGATCTAATTGGTGTTGACTATGTTTGGAGGGTGAGTATTTTGCTGATGAATTTTGTATTTATTGTTATTCTACATTTACAAGATGTAGAGACTTAAGGGGAGTTTATTTAGTTACAGAAAATGTAGTGTTTTTCTGCATTGGAGGTCGTATAGAGTTGTAGTTATCTTTTGCATACATTTGGTATCATGACAGTATTATCTCTGACTACAGGTTGTACTCTGTGGAACTGAAGATATTGCTAGCCGTGCCATTGAACTTCTGCGAGAGACATTCACTAATCTAGGACCAAGACTCCAAGCAAATCAAGTCATTATTCACGATGACTTTCTGTCTAGTTGTATGTCCCGGCTAAAGGTGAGACTGTTATGCTGTAGTAACAAATATGTACTTTGACAGCATATATTTTTCATTGTAAACTGGTATTTAAAAGATATATTGATTAAATTTTTATTTCTTTCATTTATTTATGTCCTCCCCACTTTGCAGGCAATGTATGACACTGTATCAGTGTTAGATCGGGATAAAGACTCGGTTAACAGAATTAGGCAAGAGACTACAAGAATGTGTCGTGTCCTTAAAGTTTTATATGAATACGTGTCAGAATGTGATGGCGATTTTGGGGATGATCGTTCCATTTTGCCACTTGGAAGGTTAGCAAATTTCTATAGAATATGATTTTTTTTTTTTTTTGTCTGTGTGTGTGTGTGTGAATGGAAAAACCCAATTCCATGAAAATATGATGACAGTTAAAGTTTGAAGTATTCTTATTATATTTTACTTTTTAAGAGTTCATGTTTAATAGTGATTGAGTATTGAATTAAAAGCAATTTTTTCTGTAGATCGTCAAGGGGCAAGCATTTGTCGCTCTTGGTGCGGTTCCCTGTGCAGGGTCGGCAACCAGATGAACTAGATGTTTGGACTCATACCAATGATACTATGGGAGCAATCAGAAGACAGGTAAAATGGATTTGTACTTTTTATGAATCTATATGTATTCCTTTTTGGAAAGAATTGTTTTATAGATTTTTTTGGTGAAATATTTGTGTAGGAATATTTGAGTGACTAGCATAAGATTTCAGCCACCCTTTGACATAACTGTTTATCATCTTCTAGGTTTTGCACCGTCTGAAGTCAACAGCTCCAAATGTAAAAGTCGAACTCTACTTGAATACTGACCCCATAGATCCAGTCGATGACAAGAAGATTATAGCACACATGCCTCTCAGAGATAAAATGGTTATTATGCGTTATTTGGGTGGATATATCAATCCCATTATTTTGCATGTATATATATCATTATTGATGGAAAAACTGAAAAAAGGTTTTTATTTGAATTCATTGCTCAATAACTTTTAAGCTTAGCTTATATATTGAACAACTTGTTTTCTTCAAGATCTATCAGGGTTATACAATGTAGTAAAGATTGTTTAATGAAAGCTGCACCTTTTATTTTCCCCCCCTCACTCTCTCCAGGTATTGACAGCCAAGCTAGTCCAAGTGGGAAGTAACATGCCATCATCTCCAGACAGTTCCTCAGATTCTTCAACAGGTTCCCCACAACACCCTTATGAGGGACCGAATGTTGATGCAGAAAATTGTCTTCCTGGTGTTGTAAGCTCCATTCTTTTTCCTTTGCTCCAACTCTCATTATTGTTGCTGATGTAGTTGCTAACCTTATGATTATGATGATGAACTATTGATATACTAAAAGTAATGTTTGTATTTGGAAAAATGGATTTTGATATGTGCAGTTTATAGTATTTGATATACTGTTTGTTAATGTTATAGGTTCTTTATTTATAGGAAGAAGAGTTTTGCTTTTAAACTAAAGTAATTACATTCAAAATTCTCCTTCATGTGAACAGCCCCAATGTCCCAAAAGTTATTGTATATTTGTGTATGTATGTTTCTCTATTCTACAGATAATGTCAGGCCAAGCAAAGTATACACAATTCCTCCTGCAATTAGCAGACTTGGGCTGCACTTTACAACTACCACAATTGAGAGATAGTGCACGTGCTCTTCTTGAAATAATGCCAGCAGACCAGTATACAGGTGGGTTAGAAGATTTTGTTGGTAAGAACAATTGTTATATTCGTATTTCATTTAGGTAATCATTGAAAAAATACAGACTTCTAAAGATTGCTCTTTCATTTTACAGTTAACAATTTACGAACTCTGTGTATGGAGCATGCAAAGATTGGAGACCAGAACATGTCTCCTTCTTTAGAGAGCATTGTCTTTTCACCATCCCCATCACAAGTCCTCTATAACTTGCAGGTAAGAACTTGACTATAAGATTTCTATGAATAGGATATATATGATAATAGAAGATATATAGAAATACCATATATTCAGTTTTCTTAACTGAAGTGGAAATGTATTTGACAGGTTGATTAAGAATTAATCGCAGTTAACAAGGTGATGATAGCTTATTGATAGGAAGGTTAATGCTTATAATTGTATGAAATATAGTATTGTTGCATTCAGTCAGTCCACCAACCACTATAGTGCAAGTTTGCTTACAGTAGAATAACTAAAAACAGTTACTCTTATTTTTTTCTTTCTAAAATTTCTAATTTTTTGGCCTGTAAGTTACTTTGCTAAATAAGGTTATATACATTAAACTTTTATCCTCTCCTCCTGCAGGTATTATATTCTCTCCTCATGCCTGCACATAACCCTATGTCAGAAAAGGCACATGAATTCCAGTACAATTTCATGAAAAGTGGAGGAGTTAAGCTAATCATTGATATGCTGTCCAAAAACAACTTCCTTTCAAACACAGATATGCCCACCAAAAGGTAAGATTGATTTTCTGGAAGTAAATGTTTAGTTAGCTCGTAAATTGATTATTAAAAAATAGAAACATGCAGAGAAAATTTTTGCAATGAAAAGATGTATGTATCAACAATGTATCCACTGGAGCTTGCCTACATTCTCATATTCACTGTTTGTTTCTATATTCATATGGTTATGTCTTTATTTATTTCTGTTTCCATCATCAGATCGGCCTTCTTAGTGGTGTTGAAGCTGGCAAAGTTGGCATTTGTGACTGTAGGGTATGCCATTGTTGGTGTTGTAGCTGGAGCCGTGACTTCAAGTGGTACAGCCACAACAGGGAGTAATGGTGGCTCAGAGGGATCCTCTCCATCAGGTAATTTTTTTTTATATGTATATATTTTCTGTTTTATTTATTTATTTATTCATTCATTTCTTGAGTTATTAGCTGCCTATATGTAATAGAAACTTATTAGATATTGCCTTTGTAGATTTTTGTCAAATTCTGTATATAATTCATGCCAAATCAATTTGTAATTCAGTTCATGATTAGGTACATTTTGTTCAACATTTCCCCACAACAGGTGGTGGAGGTTTGGCAGCATCCACGCACACACAAGCTTTAGTGCTCCAAGAAGCACTGCATCACATCCCCAACCCAGCCTCAGACTGCATGGTGCGGAATGTGGCATCGCGTCTGGCGCAATCGCTTCACGACCAGGTCACTATCACATCATGTCTCTGGGCGCACTTTGTAAGATCACAGGGAATATTGTATGTGTGATGAGTGTATTAACTAACCTCAGACTTTGTTTAATTTTCATCTTTTTCCACTAATTACCAAAGTAAGTTGATTGAACAATTAATTAGCATATTTTTTAAATGAAGAGGCAATTTGGGAAAGTGCCTCAGACTTGATGATTTACTTAATTAATGGTATTTATAGTACTAAAGTGCTTTTAGGATTTGCGCTCATGTGATGAAGCTCCGATTGTATTAATGAATACTAGCCATAGAAAGCATGCTTTTGGGTGGGGGATGGGAACCTGTCCTCATGTACTTTTAGATAAACAAATATGAAGCGAGCTTTACTCTATAGTAGTATCATGAATTGAAATAGTGAAGTATTTATTGAATGTTACTTAAAGCTAGTGGAAAAGAAAGACCTTCAATACTTATGAAGATTATTCAGTCAATCAGAATTGCCTATTTTGTACCCAGCCATCAAGGAGCTCATTTTTGTACTTACCTGACCTTACCTAATTTGCCCTTATCTTAGGTTTTTGGAGATTTTGTATATATATAAAGCTAGTAATATTGATGATTATAATTATAATGGTATGAACAATACTAATGGCAATTAAAAAAAAAATCTTTCCCAAAATCAGTGGAAAGCATAGACAGATGTAATTGATTCCTTGGTGATTAAGCACTTGAGCTGTGTGTATTGATAAACCAACAGAAACACCAGAAATGGCATGTATTTTGCCTTCCTGGTATCATTGGGTTAACAAAATAGTTGCTGCATTAAGATTAAATTTCATTGTGATTAATGCCTAGTTACTTTATTCTCAGAAGATAAATTATTATTTGGGATCTATAACCCAGGTAATTCTCTGCTCTTAGATATCTCTCTCTTTAGTCTGTTTTTCAGTTAAACATCTTAATTAGCATAATACACAAAATTTTAGAATATTTGGTTTTCTCTAGATTTGTGAGTTAACTTTAAAATTGGTAACATATTATTTAGTGAATAGCATGCATGCTATAGAGTATTTAATTTTTGCTTACAACTTCAGTTTCTTTTCATTTTTCTTTAGCTTTCTGAGAGATTGTAATGAATTTGAAAGATTGGTAGGGTAAAGGAGTTCATAAGAAAGTAGGGTTAAATATGTAAAGATGATGGGTAGAGCAAAGATTTTTCCTTTTGGGTTGATAGATTTAAATAGATTGTTTAGTCGAAAGAGTATCTCTTTCCAATACCATCACATGATTAATTCAAATATTGAGAAAAATTTTGGAAACTTTAATAACATGGACATAGGTACTCCATCTCCCTAGAATGTTCCCTTGCTCTTTGCTTCAGCAAATTACTATTTATATGATATGTTATCATTGCTTTCTACAACATTTTCTCGCTCTCATTCACTCACTCACTCACTCACTCGCTTTCTTGCATTTACTCATTTTGTCTGCCAGTGTCATTAGTTTCTATGTCAATTGTAGTAGCATCCAAATTTTCTGGTTGAGATTGATTGGATTCCACTTGAAACTTGATCTGTAGCATCTTAGCCTTTTCTAGCACATCTCTGGACTTACTATAACACAAAGTTCATCCAAAAAATCTATCATATTGGAGGAAATGGTAATTGAATTTGTACAAGACATAATAGCAGCATTGGCCTGTCAGTAGCTAAGTCGTCACTGCATTTCCATCAAAGCTACTTACTAGATTCAATTTATCTTATAATTAGGGTTATCATCCTTTTGGATTTGGGTACCTTGTGTGGCACATGTGGACCAAAATCAGGATATTAGGCTGCCTTGAGCGCTGACTCTCTCATGATGAGACATCCGCATCACGCAACAGCCGTAGCAATTTCACCAAAGCCTTTTTTTTTTTCTTTCTTTCTTTCTTTCTTTTGTTTTTTTTTTTTTTCTTTCTTTTTTCTTTTTTTCTTTCTCTCTCCATGATGAGTCACTTTCGTTTCCACTTCCCTACTTCACCAGGATACAGTGGGTTAAATGATGATAAAGAATATGTTTGGCATAAGGAAGATGGGACTGGCCATCACTATTAACACCTATGATCCGGATGATGTGACCATCACGTCATGAAAAAAAATTTGGCTTGAGGGATGGGTAAGGTGAACATTCTCTCATAGGAAAATCTGGCTGTGGGCCAAGGTCATGTGAAATTGTTGTCATGGGCATTTCAGCTGAAGGCTGGGATGGTGAGAATGACTCATCATGAGTGCAAAAAATTCTGATTAGACTCCTTTTTAGTAAGGGACTTTTGGATTATTTCCATGGGTAAATGATTGAAAAATATAATATCCGTGAGCCATGACTGAAAGTGCTGGCGCCAGTGAGGACACTATTTTCATGGTTGGGATCCTATTCCTAGCTGCCTTAACAGGCAGCACAGTTGTTACAGAAAAGTGAATATTACAACAACAATGAAAAAGTCATTAGCAAAATGTTATTTATTGTTATTATTCTTGCACCAAGTTACGGGCTACCAAGAAGGATGATTTGGAGTCTGCACAAGGAAGAGTCTATTATCTGGATAAAGCAAATGAAATGACATGTGTAGACATGACAAAAAAAAAAATAGAAATAAGTACACTTATGCATAAAAAATGCATTGCAAAGGAGAGGCATAGTCCTTTCACCACAAAAGAGTATTTGTTTGCACCTAGTCTATAAGCTGCACACCAGTCATGGTGGCTGATCAAGTAAGCCTAATGCTCATATTTTGGGCCATGTAATAGCATCTAAGAATCTGGATCCACTGTGTTTGTTTGATCTTTGTTGCAGAGTAAGACTTTATTATACTGTTGCCTTATTTCATTTCATTAAATTGAAGGCTAAAGTTAGGTAGTTTTGTTAGAAATGTATATATTGATTTGCATATATAAAGGAAATTGCTGATGGTTCATTTCATTGGCTAATTTGCTTTTTTCCATAAGCAATTTTAGTTTTAGGTGTGCAATTAGCATCATATAAAGATGGAGTAGGAAATTTTGGGTTGGTTGTATTTTGATAGGTGATACAGTGTAAAGAGATTCTTCTTTAAGATTTTCAACCTGATTCTAACAGTTTTTTTTCCCTATTTCTGTGTTTGTATTATATTGGGTTTATGTATATAAGTAGCTAATGTCCTACAGAAATCATGTTATCAAGTAATTGTGCTTATATTCAGTACAGATATTATCAGGGCTTTTATATATATTATTAAACTGAAAATGACATGTTCAGTGTGATATCATAAAACTGTTTTGGACAGGTAACTGGTGTGGTCCCTGACATGAGTGTGGTCAGAGCTATCCTCAAAATTACCTGGGCATCAGCAGCTGGTCAGGGCCATCTCATCACTTCATCTCTTGATGAAATTGAAAAGGCAGCAGAGAGACCGCCAACAAAACCTCCGGATCCAGAGGATCTTTGTGGTATGGAAAGATTGGTGATTCTTGTTTTACATTGATTTCAGATAATAAAAAAGTATGATAAAGGATTGGATTGTGTAAAATGTTGGATGAATGGAAAGGCTCATGTGTAATATATGTAATTGCCTTTCAATTGTAGTATCCTTTTAAAGGTATTACATGAATCTCTCTCTTTGAGATGAGAAAAGTAGCTATTGATAGTTTATTTTGAATTAATCCTTTATCTTATCTTCTTATTTTCAGTGTGCCGTGAGGGTCTGGAAACACTGTCAGTAGTTCTAGCCCTTTATCCCCCTGCTCTTGAAACCTTGACCAAGGACACCCAGTTCCACAAACTTGTGATGGGGTTGGTGTTAGTAGGCGGCGAGCGAAGCATACGGCAATGTGCAGTGGAGCAGCTCTTGCTTATGGCTACCAAATGCTCGAACTCACCCCACACCCTCGTCGTCTTTATTGTCATGCTGTTCAATGTTCTCAATGGCCTCAATAGCGAGTACTCGAAAGAATATTTTCAGGTTTGTACCAAGATTCCTCTTTGCCTAGATATGTGGGTATATAGTGTAACTTACAATATGTATTTATGAATGGATTGTTTATATAATGTTTATGAATCTAGCTTCTTCATCCAGACTTAATATCAGTTGGTCTCTATACAGCTCTACACTTAATTCTGGAATAATAGTAATGCTTTTTATCTAATGTGAGAGAGACATCTGCCAGCTTTATCCTCTCATGTAATTTTTCATGAAGTGTGTCAAAATGATAGTTTTATTCCTGAGTCCATACCATAAAGAGAAATAACATCATTTTGTTAAGAAGAAAAAAGAAAGAAATTTTCTATTCCCTACCCCCCTGCCCAGACTTCAAAATCAATGAAAATGATTGAATTTAGTAAAATATAAAGCCCCTAGGTAAATCATAGTTGTGTAGAATTTAACGCACAATAATACAAGAAATATATATATACCAAGAGAAAAGCTTGGTGGAGGAGGGGAGTACAGGTGGCTTTACAAAAAAGGGAAAACATTCTATGAAATCTCATGCAATTTAAGAATGTTCCCTGTTGATGATGTCAAGTGCTACATCCACGTAGTAGAAAAGCTTGGCAAGTTACTTTACAGTTAGATCTTCATTTTATTCTCTTTAATTTTCTCCTCCTTAAAGCATTTTGGCTTTATGCAGTGTTGTAGTAATTTTCATTGAAATATTGTGGTGCTTCTGATCTTTAGCCAATAAAACAAATATTTTTCCATCTTTTCAGTCATGGTGCTATGAGAATAACTTAATGCACTTGTTGGGGGACTCAGACTAACAACCTTCTTGATTTCCTTGTTTGCCTGGATTGGTACCATTATTTTCAATTATATGTACATTAAAAAGTGAGAACCATAAAAGAATTCTCGATAGAACAAAAATGGGGAACCTTCATCTTACGATATAATCTTTGCATTCTCATCAAGGCTGTATACAGGTGACTTGCTCCCCCCATTCACCAATAAATGTCCTTTATGGACATTTTGGCTTTGCCCAAGGCAAAAATCAAAGCTTTCCGATGCTTTTTTATTTTTTTATTTTTTTATTCCCCGTTATAAGATATGGTTGGACAAACATCGTATCAAACATTAAATGAAACTGAACAAAGAAGTAACTGCCCTTCACACCAAAAACAAGGAAGCAGTTCATATTTTGATTTCTAGTTTGCCTTGCCGTCTTTATCAGTGCATCCTAAATAGCGCCACACCATCACCATTGATGAATATTTTAAAAGATTAACTCAGTTCCAAGAATATTCACTGTTCTCTATGATATGATTTTACTTTTTCATGTAGGATCCACAATTGCTTAGTCAACAAATAGTCAATTACTAGCTTACCCAACCTCAGCTGTTGAACTCATTCTTTAGATTATCAGTATTATTATTTTTAAAGTATTGTTATTATTGTTATCATTATTATTATTATCATCATTATTGTTATTTTTTATTTACTATCAATAATAAATGTCATATTAATTTTACAATTTATTATAATGATTATGGAAATAAAACACTCCCAAAAGGAATTAAAGAAATGGTGTAAATAGATAAGGTCAGGTATCCCAACTCTCTCTCTCTCTCCCTCTCTCCTCTCTCCTCCCTCCTCCCTCTCTCCCTCTCTCCCTCTCTCCTTCCCTCTCTCCCTCTCTCCCTCTCTCCCCCCCTCTGTCAAACCCCCCCCTCTGTCAAACCTCCCCCCCTCTCTCCCTCTCCTCCCTCCTTCCCTCTCCTGCCACCATTCCCTCCCTCTGTCTCCCTCCTTCCCTCTCCTGCCACCATTCCCTCCCTCTCCTTCCAACCCTCCCTTCTTTCTCCCTCCCTTCTTTCTCCCTCCCTTCCTCCCTCCATCTCCCCCCCCTAATCTCTCACCCTTCTCTCTCCCTTCCCCCCCCCCCCTCCCTCCCTCTCGCACTCTGGTATATACTCTTATCATTATTAATGTTGTTTTCAGCATTTTATATTATTTTTCATTTTTATTTTCTAGCTGTTGTGTGGATTGCTAAACTGGGCGTGTGTATCAAGTGTGACTGTAACAGGCGTTGACCGCCTACTTACCACGGAGGTGGAGTGGTTGAAGAATGTCAGAGCCAGTGTAGCTCAGATGGCCCAAGGTGGACCAGAGCCCCCAGTAGATGAAACTTTGTTGGAAGGCCATCTCTGTGTAACAAGGGAGCTTGTAGCCTTCCTCCCTCCTGAGAAGAAATATGAAATTGGTGGTGATCCTTCCAAAGGAATTTTTCTCATTAGGGTAAGTACATTTCTATATATAAGGGTGTATGTGTATTATTGCAAGTTGTTTTGAAATATTTTTTCTACTCAGTGGATGTCTTTCCAGTGAAAAACATTTATGGATGGATGGATGTGTAACTGAATCAGTTTAAGGAGTAACAGTTTATTAATAGAAATGTATTTTGCTTTCCAGGAACTTGTAGAAGACTTTATATTCCCATTTTCTAAGGTGTACCTTCAATTAGAGCATGCCGCAGAGATGCCTGCTGAGCAGGTATGTCTCGTATTTTTTTCTTAAATGAAAACAAAAGCAGCAAATAGTAATAAGTCATGCCATTACACATTGAAGAGATGATATTGTTTTAGGTCTATAATCTGTTCAATTTGTCCTTCAGTTGCCCATGTCTAATTGAATTGTATTTTAGGAATTTTGATGCGCCATATAAAGTTTGATGTTAACCCATTAACGACAGGTGTCCCACATATGAGACACCCAAAAAAATCAGCATTGCCAGGCCTCCCGCCAGTGAGATGCTGTATCGGGGCTCGCGCCCCGACGCAGCAGCGGGCCATGGCTGGTGTGCAGGCAGAGTCCTGGCCAGCCCGGACTCTGCCTGCACTGCCTGCCGATTTTGTAGCCGCCCGGAATCTTTTATTTTCGGCTTCAAAATATACCCGCAGTAATGGGTTAAAAGATAAAACATGAATAAATTTGTTCCAGGCCATACCAGTGTGCTCAACTCAACCGACTGTGATAGCAGCATATGAACTCCTAGTCACTTTATGTACTGGCTGTGTCCCCAACCTCAGACTGCTGGCAGAAATGCTCACCAATATGTATTATTCAGGTAAATATAAACCTATGTGATATGAAGTAAATGTGAAATGCTTATTTGTAGCTCCTTTAACGACAGGATTTTATGACACCATAGAGTTACATGTAAGGCTCTTTTGTATGAGTGGAAGGGATCTGGACATAAGCATTAGTTGGACTTTGCATGATGTTTTAGATATCTTTGGCTCTCCCTGTGATATACTGTAGAAAGCAGTGTTCCTCATTATGCTCATATGCTTAAAAAGAGAAAATGATATTGCCAAGGGGAGGCATGAAGTCTTGTCACTGCACAAGTGTTTCTTTGCACCTGGCCTACAAGCCACATACCCATCACATAAACTTCATGTCCTATTTTGGGCCATGTAATGACAGTGAAGCATCCAAATCCAATGGATTAAGTCTTCTATCTACATTTGGTCAACAGTTGGATAAAGATAATGTGCAATTTCCAAAACTTGCCAGATTTTGATGTACTCTTTCATAGGTTAGTTACTGTAATTAGGTTTTCTAACTTTTCCTCCCAAGCACAGGTAGCTTATGTAAAAAAGAAACTAGAAAAATGCTCTGTTGAAATGAGAGTGTGCACTGAAAGGGTTAGGAGAATAAATCATTATTTACCTTGAGCAATGATCACACTAGTCACATATGGCCAGGAATACCTGAATAGGAGCATTCAGTGTCTAGTTGGGAAAGGGGGGTTACACTATACAGTGTCCCCCCAAAGAAAACCATTGTCCTGGAAAGGACCATGGTATCTATAGCAAACTTCTGAATGAGCAACACATCAAGGATAGGCATGGATTCTATGAGTGTCATTTCATGTCAATTGAAAATTTCAAGAAAAAAAATGCTAGCTGCCTTGACACCACAGTCTTGATAATAAACTTTCCAGTAACATCTTTTGGTATTAGTGACCAATGATATACCAGAGGCATAATTATGTATTGATAAAATCTAGAGTTAGGAGGAAGCAAATACTATAGCAGAAATAATTTTAATTGCAGCATATATACTACTTATTTCTGATGAAGATGTAATTGAAACTGGTCAAATACATCTCTTGTACTGTGAAGATATCCAGTCTCATTCATACCTTTTCTACATTTGTCAACATGGGTACGGTTCATGCCACACAGTACCAGAATCGCTACTTCCCAATCAGTATGCTCCACTTAAAAGAAAGAGGCAACAATTACAAGACTGGTTCAGAGAGAGGGACTCCATGAAATGGAATGGGGGTATGGGGATAATATTGGGTGTGGCTACAATAAACTCCCATAACAATAGTAGATATGATGCACTCTATACATCTCATAGAAAAAAAAAAGAAAAAAAAAATGCATGGCAAATTGGACTGACCACAAGATCCAACAAACCTTGTGTGGGGAATAGTACATAAGGGATTAATAATGTATGTTTCAGACATGGATTTTTTATCATGTAATGGACATAAACAGATATTGGGTTTACCATAATCCAAACACGTTGATATAAGTGTATTCTATAATGTTGATTTTTAAAAGTAATTTAGAAAACTATGTAAGAATCATGAACTGACTTGAAAATAGCAGGGATATAGTCGAGTAGAAATATAGATATTGATTTTTGTCCATTTTTGTTGGACTACATTTAATTCAAATACATCTTTACCTGGTTTTGAAGTGAAATCTTTTCCTTTCAGACTGCGATGAGAGTATTGGGGAATGGGAATATCTTCCTCCTGTAGGCCCACGACCTATGAAAGGTTTTGTGGGGTTAAAGAATGCTGGGGCCACATGTTATATGAATTCTGTCCTCCAACAGTTATACATGATCCGACAAATAAGGTAAACTATCAAATCTGGTATGGAGCAGTATCTTGATTCTCTCTTATGCATCATATCAATGTAGTTCTTTGTATATTTTATAGTGTTTATTTTGCAATGTAATAATGAACTTCATTACTTGCCAGACATGGGGTCCTAGCAGTGGAAGGCGCAGCAACAGATCCAGAGGAAGACTTCAGTGGTGAGGAAAGAATGGAACAAGAGGTGAGTTGTTTTTCTTCCAATAGATATTTTATGAAACTTTTTATTCATTTGTTTGTTTATTTAGCTAGGGGGAAAAATGTTTTATACAAATTGTAACCTGAAACATTAATTAAATTCTTCATTTTTATAGACCAACCTTGATGGTAATGAAGATGATGCCATGAGTAGTAGTTCCAATGAAGAGAGCAGGAAGGAGTACCATATTGGTATACTAAAACAAGTACAAGCCATCTTTGCACATCTGGCTTGTTCCAAGCTCCAATATTATGTTCCCAGAGGACTTTGGAAACATTTTAAGTAAGTTTTAGTGCTTATCTTTGAGATCAAAATGAAAAGGAAAAGCATTGCAGTATTTGAACTTGATATAACAGAGAAATATACATTAATATGGTTATGTATTTTTTAGTTTCATTTTTGTTGTTTTACTGTTTACAGATTGCAAGGGGAACCTGTAAATTTACGTGAACAACATGATGCTTGTGAATTTTACAATATTTTAGTCGAGAGCTTGAATGAGGCTCTAAAGGCATTAGGACATGAACAAATAATGAACAAGATTTTAGGAGGATCATATTCAGATCAGAAGATTTGTAAAACTTGTCCACATAGGTAATGTATGGTTTCCTATTTGAATGTGTGTTATAATGGTTTAAGTGTAACAAGTAGATAATTTACTTATAATGAAGTGTATGGTAAGTTTCTTAATCCCAAAATTCTGGTTGCCCACAGTGATTGCTTTTCCTAAAAATGACATTAACATGAGTGGCCACAGCAAAGCCAAGCTCCTCACAAACTGGTGTCCTATTTGCCTTTCCTCTTTCTTCCTTTCTTTCTTTCTTCTGCCATTAAGCTATGGGAAGTATGAGGAAGCAATCTATTTTATATAATTTATACCCCCAAACCCCTCCATTCTGTCTGCTATCGCTGGACTAGTCTCTGTAAAAGAAAGTATTATGTATGGAATAAGAATTCTTATGACTTCCATCTCCTTCCCTTTGTACACGCTATAAAAGTTAATCCCGTATTTAAGATTAATCAAGATCTCTAAGAATAACAAAATATGATGTGACATTATCATGCCAAAGATGTATGTGAAAATTCATCAGTTTGTGCTTTGATAAGTTTTAGGATATTCAAACTGCAGATATATCTCTCAACAATGAAAAGAAAATCTGTGTTATAGAGTTTACAGACAAAAAAGGCAACATTATTTCCTGGTTGGGAAAACATTCCCATCTTAAGCAATATTTTAATGAGATAAAAAGAAAAAGAAAAAAAAAAACTTTTAATAGCTTCACTATAAGATTTCCAATTCATAGTGCAAACTTCCTGATTCTTTAGCTATGTTGAACTGCAAATCCACATAGAAATTTGTTTTCATGATCGTTGTTGGCAACACCCTGTAACAACTACCTAACCCATGCACCTCGATCAGACACGAGTAAGAGCTGTCAGAGGATAGCTGAATATAAATGTTATGGATATTTTATGTATGTCGCCTTCACATAAATTGCCTTTAAACATCAAAGGTTATTTGAAGCTAGCTATATATTGTATTTGTACTTACACACAGATATCTTCATGATATAATGCTACTGTATACCAGGGTTACCACTATTACTGTAAATGTGATAGGAGAACCATGATTTTGGCTTTGATTGGAGCAATGATTACATGTCTAAGATTTCCAAATTTAACTTGTCTAAGTAATATGAAAATTATAGTGGGTGAGTGCCAATTACATATTCACAAATAATAGCCCTTTCATGTAAAACAGCAAATTTAATGGAAATCACATTGATTTATGCATCTGGCAGGTGTGTCCTACATTGTTTGTGCAAGTACTTAAGACTTAAATTTCTAGATGAGTACATTTGAGTTCTACAATTGCACTGATAAAAACTGCTTACTTTGAAAATGGCCTGATAGTTGTTGCTAGAATGCAGTTTTTAGGGTTTAAATTCTTACCAAATCATTTCTTTGATGGTTGGTTACATAACATACATTGAAGTTTAAAAGCTTCCTCTCAAACATATCTGCAGATATTCACGTGAGGAAACCTTTACGGTCATCAGCATAGACATCCGAAACTACAGCAACCTATATGACTCGCTTGAACAGTATGTTAAAGGAGACCTTTTAGAGGGGGACAATGCCTACCTATGTGAAAAATGTGACAAAAAGGTGAGTTTGATTTCTTTTTGTGATGTTAATGTCATGTAGACAGATAGATGATTATTTTGTTACTATATTTAGTGATAGAGCTTAATTGTAATTTTGAAAAACCAAAGATGTATATATTTTTTCCAGGTTGATACTGTAAAACGGATATGTTTAAAGAAACTACCCCCAATTTTAGCAATTCAGCTGAAAAGATTTGATTATGACTGGGAAAGAGAATGTTCAATCAAATTCAATGATTACTTTGAGTTTCCACGTGAGTTAGATATGGACCCATATACAGGTAAGTGAATTGTCTCTTCGTACTATTTTCTTAGTGGGCATTTTTTCAATATGTTATATGAATAACAAGAAATAAGGTGGGCACATGTCAAACCTCCAACTTCTGTAGTTTGCTACCTCCTCTCTTGTACTAGGAATGATTGGGATCCTAATCACTTGTGGCATCAGAGAGGCTTCAACTGCAGAACGCTTGATCAACACTCAGGTTTCTCAATCCATTGAGCACATATAGAGGTGGTGATGATGTGTGTTTTTGTGATTTCAACTTGCATAAAGTTTTTTATTGTCATTTTGCAGTTGCTGGACTCGCTAGAAATGGAGAACTCATAGACTACGACCCAGAAGATATGAAGACAGTAATATGTAGCAAGTACAAGTTGACAGGCATTGTGGTCCACAGTGGTCAAGCAAGTGGAGGACACTACTATTCATACATTCTTCACAGGTGAGTAATGGTATATTTATATCTTAACCAAGGAGTGTCGGACTGAAAGCCCTTTGGGGTATAATTTTCATTTTGGCTACCATCATGAAGGCCAACAAAGGTATGTATATGGCTCTTCATGATGAAGTTATAGAAAACTGTCTGATGTTATGTACCTGTATGTGAAGCTTATTTACTTATTAAATTTTAAAGATGTCACTAATGGTGATTAAGTGTACATGCATATGAATTAGCTGCAATTAATTTTGCTATTTCATTTTGATTCTTAACCCAATGGTTGTGGATGGTTTAGTATTCATGCCATCTCCACTGTATTTTCAATGATTATATTTGTTTACATGTATACAGCTCCACCAGGAAGTCAAATTTTAGTCCGACCTATCAAACCTTTTTCCCATTTCCTTGATCTTTAAAAAAAATTATCTTCTACTTTTTAGTATTAAAAAAATTTAATGAACATATTGATATCATAATGTTAATAATGATAACAGTATCAACATTAATCACATTAGAAAAGAAATAAATCCCACAAATTCAAGGACGAGGGAAATCAGGTGCAGTAATCAAAGCCTAATAATTGGTATGTTGATGACTGAACACATTTGAAGCCATCTTTGTGTAACAAAATTCGCAAAAAAAAATACAATCAAGAAGTACCATGCAGCAAGCATCTTTTACTTTGCTTAGCACTAACTGCATCGCAAGTGGTTTTCTCTTATGGAAAATTTTATTTTTTGTTTAAAACGACTGCTATGATATGTGTCATACCTTTATGATAGGGATATTACTAGCAATAGCAAGGAAAATGTTGTTTATGAATTTTTAGTATCTTCATGGTATAATAATCCCTTGGATCCAGTTGCAATAACATGGACCAAAATACGGGCATTAGCTTTACGTAAGCTGCCGGATGCGTAGCTTGTAGGCTGAG